TTACGCGTATTGGTCTGCATACATCACTATGCACAAATTCTAGTAAGTCTTCTGTATGCGAATTCTAACTAATAAATGGTAACTGCGTTTGCATCCTCTTAATGCATATTTCACAAACTGATAACTTATCATCAAGTTTGACATTTACGCCAGAAACCTTTTCATCACAAATCATACGTTTCAAATCGTGCTCGTTAAAATGTCCAAAACATGCATGTAGCTCGGTCAACGTTAATAACTATCATTATAATGTTATTATCACCCGGGCGTTTTACATGCGCTTTATGTTTGTCAAAAATTACTTTAAAACCAGGAACAAATTTAAAAGTAAATTTGTTCTGAGATCAGGAACATACAATACATTTTGCAATGTTGCTAATGAACCATTTTTAACTTTAATGTTAATGTTGCCAACGCCTTCAGTTCTTGGTAAAATTCTATTTGCCAAATTCAGTTGATTGTGGATTTTTGAAACTATTGAATTTTGCTTTTGTAGAACACATGTGCGATGACGCACCAGAATCAACGTATCGTAATATATTGTTTTTACTATTTGTACACATGGTCACCTTTGAACATTGTAGGGTTTCATGTTTTTCGTTCTCCTTTCTATATTTCTTATGCTTGCATTCACTTGCTTTGTGCACTTTTTTACCACATGAGTAACAAGTAATGACATATTTGCATTTTTGTTGCTCTCTTTTATTGCTTTTCTTTGCAAAAAGAGCGTCAATTTCGCCTCGCTTCTAATTCTTGCCTTGAATTCCTCAATAATTTTAATTTTTAATGTTTCCAAGTCCAACAACTTTTCCTGTGTTTCAATTGCAATGCGAAATGTTTTATATTCCTCTGGTATACAATATTCCTAATAATAAAATAACGAGCAAGTCATTTAGAATTTCTAAACCGATATCTTTAAGTTTTTCTGCGATATCAAAAAATTGCTTCAGATGATCTCATATGTCATCGCCACTTTTCATTTTTAGCAAAATTAAAGATTTTAGTAATGTAGCTTTTCTTGCTGGTCCTTTTGACTGGTACACACTTTCCAGTTTGCTCCAAATTTCTTTTTTTTATATGGCTTAATTCGGACGCACTAATCGCCGGAATAAGGTCTGCCTGTGCCTTCGCATCGTTTTTGTTTCATTTGGCCAAATCACCCGATGCTGGTTTTGTGCCAATAACGTCTTTTTTTACCAACAACGCCTTTGCTTGAATTTTCCACGTGCCATAATAACTCGATTTTCACGTTTAGACTCATAACTGTTTTTATTGTGTTGTACGACACAATTAAAAATTTCTCATTCACGACGAACTAATTTCACGACAATTTAATTTCATTCGATTTAAGCTATGTGCAGTGCTAGCGTGTTCGGCCCTTAACCTGTTGGTTTGTAAGGTAAAAAAGACTGAGACAGAATTTATTTCGTATAGTAACACATTCCCTTTTACATTGCGATCTTCACGTGTTGCTAGATTTGATATAATTTCCAAAAATTTTATATAAATATTTTATTTATATTATAATATATTGTTTATATACTATATATTAAAAATAAAAAATTTATATTTCAAATAACTTAAATTTATAATTTATATTAAGGAAATTATATTAATGAATATTTGAAAAATAATATAAAATACATACATATGTAAAAAATTTGATAATATTAATTTTCATGAATTCAAAAACATATTACTTTTATTATTTTATTGGTAATACAAATTTTATGAAAGTTTTCATTTTTCTTTCTTAAAAAAATTAAAACGTTTACATTACATTTTCCTAATATGCGAATTTACATTTTATTTAGATATTTCCATACAATATTATACATATCTTAAGTTTATTTTCTAGAAATTAGGATTCTAAAATTTACCCTTAATTAGTACATTGTACTAACAACAGTAACTACAACAAAAAAATCATTATGTTATTATCTACATATAAGTTAATGATCATTTATTTTAATGATTATTATAACTATTAATCAATTGTATCAAAACAAATATTTCTCACGGTATATTGTTTTGATACAATTTTATCAAAACAAGTTACCGTTGTTTAATTTTTGCAAAACAATATCCCATATTGTTTGAGAGTTATAATTATTGTAAAATTATTTTTAAGTTTATTTAAAAATACGACGTGCAAGTGATAACAATTAGTTAGTAAAAATACTATTAGTATAAAGATTATAAAAAATACTATTTTAATAAATAAATTAATTAATATAAAGATTATAAAAAAATATTATTCTAAGAAATAAATTAATTTCTATATAAATTTGCGCTTACCCGCGTTACTTCAACAGCTCATATATCATAATAAAGCATTTCTGTCTAATAATTATGCATTAAAGGCTATAACTAACCTTTTCTATAACTAATGTTAAAGGTTTTAATTTGTAAATTAGTTTAAATTTCTATCACTAAAAAAATAATGTTTTTATAATGCATAAATGCTGTTAAATTTTTACATATACTTATATATTTTATATTATATTTCACATTTTCATCAATATGATTATTATTGCTTATGATTATTTAATATAAGTTATAAATACTAATATTAGATATTTAAAATGAAAATTTATTATTTAATAATATGTAATAAAATAAAAAAAAACCCAGTAGAAAACGGATCGATCAATCATCAAAGACGTCTTCAAGGTAAGGATATATACATGAAGACCGATCGATCCAAATGTACGACGGTCTTCGAAGACATTTCGAACAAATTAGCTAAATGTCTTTAAAGATATTTAACGTACATATCTCGAAGACTGTCTTGAAGACCATGTCTTGTATAACGGACGCATTCGATTGAACGTAGTGTGATCTTATGTTTTAATGTTATGCTTTAAAATTAAATTAAAAGTAAGTTATATATTATTACAAATTATAAATTTATTCATCATCAGTTGTTGATTGGTTCACCTTTCCATTTGCCCGAAAGTTTCACCTTTTTTACTGGAAAACATTACACACATATAATATAAATTTCTACGTAAAATACCAAAGACACAAAATCGTTCAAACAACAACAAATTCTATTATTCCTAAAAAAATTTGTGTTAATTTGTGTTAATTTGTGTGGCTCACGTTCATTTACATATTGTGCTCTCCCTTTAACTTTTGCTAAAGAATTCTGCGAATAATAATCACAAATCCGAATATTTGAAGACTCTGGGTTTACGAAAAACCCAATTTTTTTTCAATTCCGGATACTTCGTTTACTATCCGATAAGGGCTATGTTATGTAGAGTGTCACGGCCACAGCAAAAATGGCTCTTTCGGGTTTTGACGAAAATGCATGTTACGTCGAGTATTATATCAGTATTGTCAAATTCGTATTTTTACTTGAGGCCATTTATGCAGAGTGTCTCGGGCACGACAAATTACGCTGTTTCGGGCTATGCCGAAAATGCATGCTATGCAGAGTGTCACATCAGTATTACCAATTTTGTATTTTTACTACATCTTGATATTTCTTGGTTGTTCCTAAGTTTAAAAGGAAATTTAGATATGCTCACTTTCAATTTGCTACCAAAAATAACTAGCAAGAAAAAACTCATGGAGTTTGTAATAATCTTAATTTATTATAATGTTATCTTATAATAATTGTTAACAGTACTTACGCGTTTTTTTAAAATCGGAAAGTGTAATAATTATATTATTAGCGATTTATAAAAAAAATTCTGTGCTGCTTACTGCCATTTTTTCTCCAAAACGTATTAGAATTGTAGTAATTTGCTCCTAAAAGGCGCAAATTCTAAAATTTATTACTAAACAACACTGTTTTGACTTAGTGGCGGGGCAAAAATACGCCGGCTCTCATGCCGGAGTTTAAACGGCCGTATTGTTTTTTCTCTCATTCTCAAATTTAAAATTTAGATTGAAAACAACAACTATTGTACTCATGCCGTGCCCGAGACAGTCTGCATAACATGGCCCTTGGTTGTTCTTAAATTGAAAAGGTAATGTAGATATGCTCACTCTTAATTTACCACCAAAAATAACCAGTAACAAAAAACTTATAGAGGTTACAAAAATTCTAATTTATCATTAGGGGTATTCAGGCAACTGATTAGTTGCTCAGTAGTTGATTACAACAAAAATTTGCACACAAAAATGAAACTAAGCAGAGAATCAACTATTTCGGTGATTCTCAGATTAGTACAAATTTGATTAATAGTGCTGCCAGTCCCAAGTGTCGTAATAATAACTTAAAATGAACTTTTGTATAGAAATTTGTTAGCTATCTCTCTCAGCTGTTTGAATTGTGTGTAAACAATTTTCACTGTTAACGTATGTTTCGCTTTTGCTGTTGATGCGAGTGCTGCCAAGGCATTTACACACAACAAACTAATCAGATTACGCATTTTGGGTCGTTCAAGCAACTGATTAATATCAAAATGCTAAATTTTTTTTATATGAAGTTTTTGAATCAACTAAGCAACTAATCAGTTGCCTGAATACCCTTATTATGTTTTCTTATAATAATTGTTAACAATACTACCAAAATTATACTCCTTTCCTCAAAATCGGAAACTGTACGAATTATATTATGAATGATTTATAAAATAGGCTGTGAGGCTTCCTGACATTTTTTCTTCAAAACCTTTTGAAATTGTAATAATTTGCTTCCAAAAAGCGCAAATTTTGAAATTTATTACTGAACAACACTGCTTTACCTAAGTACCGAGGCACGAATAGCCCGGCTCTCATGCCGAAATTTGAACCGACATATTGTTTTTTCTCTCACTCTAAATTTTATAATTTGCATTGAAAATAAGAACAACAATTTTACTCATGCAATTTTACTGATGATTGATAACATATACTTTTAATCGAATATTCAGTGGAATTGTTAGCATTTATACATTATAAATTGTTATAAGTTTTTACATTGCAAAAACTACATTCTTAAACATTTTTGATATTTAAATATATTTGAATAGTTTATTCCTTGATTAATAATCTTTACTTTTCTTAAGGTCACAAAACTATTATCCACAAAATATTGATCCAAATATTTTACATCCGGATGTCATCGTTGATACAGATAATCTTTCAGATTGCACAAGCGTATCTGTGAAAACGAAACGCAAATTTTCAACTTCAACAGATGGGGATAGTACAAATTATGAATTAATCGAGTATCTTAAAAGACGTGAGAAGCGTGATGAGGAATTATTGAAACGTATGGATGCTCGCGAAGAACGTCTATTGAGCCTGTTTGAAAGGACTGTTATCGCCATAGAAACTTTAGCACAAATAAATTTTAATAAAAATTGAAGTTATTATATGCTACGTAATTAATTGGAACCAAAGAGATTCATAAGTTTTGACAGTTATATATTAAGTAGTTAGCTTGGAACCTTATATAGATAATAAGAAAATAATGCCTGAATGATACTTAAGTTATTTACTAATATATTTTTATCGCTTTACATATAAATTATTTAATAATAAATTTACATTATTTGATATGTATTTAATTATAAATTCTAATGTGCCATTAAACAAACAGATTGTTGTAAAATTATGTCTACACTATTACTTAGTAAGTCTTAGTAAGGAAAATATATTAAACTGCGTTATCATATGCAACACATCTTTTCATAAATCTTAAATTTAAACGCTGATGTCTGTTCAATTATGTGGATATAATGTTAACAAATAAAAATTTTCGTTTCTGGAAGATTCAATTCTGTAGCAAGTATGCCAAGATCTATGTATATTTACAGCAGTACATTTTAAGGGACATTTAAAATCAGTTCTCTGTATAGTTTTGGAAGCCTTTTACACACTTTTACCACAGACAAGTAATAGAACATATTATTATACCAAACAATAAACAACAAAATATGTAAACGATCGTATTAATTGACGAAACAAAAAGTGAATAATGTATCCAAACACTATTGTACAAGCAGCACCTATTCTCAAAACAAACAACGTTTATCATTATACAGCATGAATGCTCCAATAGAACAACTTCTGGTTGCTTAAGAATTACTTTCTATCACTGCCTAAATCAGGAAACATATAACAAGTAAAAAAATTTTAAACAAACTTGTGGTTAATAAATTCATGAAAATACAAAACGAACTACGGAAAATTGAATAAAAAGCGTTTTTGTAGAAATATACACTTAGAGTTTTTCTGCTCTGCGTACAGAAAGTAAATTTTGTTTCAACATATAAAAAATTACTAAATAAATAAATTTTTTAAATCAATTTTATTTTTTATTAGTACTTTTATTTGTTATCTTCATTTTAAGCTAAAAATTATAAAGGATATTTTCACCGCAAATCCAAATCATGCTTCTGTGAATTATGAAAGGAAAAGACCATCTTGCCAACTAGAAAGGATGTTAAATCTATAAAAACATGCAAAGGAAAATGTTAAGGGTACATTGAGACCTAAAATCATAGATCTGTTGAAATAAAAACAATCTTAAAAAGAAAATAGGTCGACGTAATGCTAATATCAGAAACCGAACTTTCTTTCAAATTTTCTTTGAAATTCTGCACTATAAACTTTATCACATATGTGCCCAAATATCAGCCTGAGAATCAACTCCACCCTTTTCTAAAATTGGTAAGCAAGAATATCTTTTTTTAACATTAGATACATTATCAAAGAAAAGCGTAAGATGAGATAACATAACATAGGTGAAAGACGAGATTCCCTGCAGATAAAACAATTTATGTAATTTCGCAAAAGCCCTTCTTATAAAGTACAACAATAGTCGCACGTCCTTATACCTCCAAAAGCTAAGTGCTTCAAGTGATACAAACTACTCCCTCTGGAAAGCCATAGAAAATAATAACAGACACAGACAGACTTACACACAAGACCGACAACTCATGCACAAGAAGCGACATAGAAAAAGCAGAAACATTTGCTTTATATCTAGAACGATAACCAAAATATGTCAGATATTATGAAACAAAGGATAAATATTCTACAAAAGCATTACTAATTAGAACTTCATATTAAAAAAATATTCTAGTAATGAAGTTAGGGTAATTTCTAGTAATAGCGAAATTAAAGATAAAAAAACCTCCATGATACGATTTAATCACAGGCATGACCTTGCAGCAGCTACCATCAATAGGGATTGTGTTTCTCACTGTATAAGTGAGATTATTAAGGTCGTGTTAGTAAATTGATTTATTGCGTGATACATAAACCAGGAAAAAGCCCAGAAGACGTCAAATCACATCACGCAATAAATGCGCCTTTCACCGATTACTCAACAAAACAGATTCATCCCTGACCATCAATTCGCCAAAGACTTGCCAGTCTTTGTATTTGATTGGATATGGCATGAGAGCCATACTGAAAACTGAATCTATCCTTAAATTATTTCATATTTATTAAATCATACCTCTCGGCAAGACACTTTTCATTAAGCATGATAATGAAATTACAGAACTTCATGATATAAGAAGTAGGAGTACCTCAAGATAGCATAATGAGAACAATGCTTTGTCTTTTATATACTGCGGACCATCGCCTTACCGCTCGCCTTACCGGCACATTTGCAGGCGACACAGCTGTTTTATTAGTGGATAGTGATTCAATCCATGCTTTTACCAAACTATAAACCTGACTTAACAATGTTGCCCTCTGGATGAAAAATTGGAGTTTCAACCCAAATTAAACAAAATCTGTCCAGGTAATATTTACTACAAAACGTTCTATCTGTTCGTATATTTTAATAAACAATGACCAATTATCGCAAGCTGTTGAAACCAAATACTTGGGAATACATCTGAATTGGATTGTAAACTAACCTGCAGAACACACATATTCAACAACCGTAAAGCATTGGGTCAAATTGCGAAACTTATTTTTGTTCCTTAGTCGAGTTTTGTTCCTATATGGAGTTATGGCGTCCAATTATGGGGTACTGCAATAAATTCAAACCTAGCAATTATCTTGCAGTTCCAATCGATAATAGTATGCATGGTCACAAATGCACCTTGGTATATAACGAATCAAAGAAGTAATATTTCGAATTATAAAGAACTATATATATGCACCCAAACTCACTGGTTACACATCTGAAGTCCAACTCTTTTATAAAGCTGAGAAGAAAAACTTCGAGAAACGTCTTAGATCATTTTACCTCTGGCCTGCACATATCTTATTTAATTATCTTATTTAATTTATACACTTCCGCATTTTTGTCAAAATTATGTAGCCAAACTTCTACATGGATCGTTTTACCATTATAATAAGGAATAATTTTATCAAAATTTTCTGCCGTTATTCCCATGGTAATTGAATTTTCGTCTTCTCATTTAAACTTTTCACTAAGCAGATATAGTAATGCATCAATATTGCTCTAACCTGGCATTTTTATTGCGTTCTCCTTGTTGGTTTCTGATTTTATGTACTCGTTATATATGAGGCGTTTTCGTTTGTAAGCATGTCACAAAAGAACAAATAAAATAAGCGCTTCTTTCAATGGCAACTCTGGAAAAACTGGAAATTTTGTTTGTATTTGCAAAACACATAATAAAATTTAAAGGGAAAATTAACAAAATGAATAATTCTTTGCAATTATTGGTAAGAAAATTTCATTTTTTAAATGATTGTGAATAAAATTTGTTTTTTTCAGGCTTTTTCTACGTTAATAGAAAAAAATGGTTAACTAAAAAGAATTGAGTATGAAAATAGAGTGAAAGAAGTTCTTGACATATTTGATAGTGCATGTTCGTCTGAATCGGATTCAGAACCGAAGCAACATGAAAAATGTTCCAGTTTTGAATCTATTATACTATTGAAACTATGAGTGCTCAGAACTTTAAACAGCATTTCCGACTACAACGAGAAACGATAGAAGTCATTATAAGTACGAAGGTTGTAAACTAAAGTTTCTTAAATAATTATACCATATTTATTTCAGCACTGTTTTCACAATCTGAGTACTTTCCAAAACAATTTAGTGGTGGAAGACAACGCGTGGGATGCAGAAATCAATATATGTACATCTGGTATGTAAGTAATACAGTTACTTACAGACAGCTGGCAAATCTTTTTGGTGTTGCAATATCACTGGCTTGGGGTACAGTCCGGCATGTAACAGGTTTCTTCATATCAATAAGCCATGAATATATTATGTGGCCAGGAGGATCAATTGCAGCCGATGTTATGAAGAAGTTCGAAGAAAAGCATGAAATACCAGGTATAATAGGAGCAATACACTGCACGCATATTCCAATTAAAAGACCAACATGTCATGGTGAAGATTTTTTCAATCGCAAACAATACTATTCCATTGTTTTGCAGGCTGTTGTAGATACAGACAAAAAATTTTTGAATATTAGTTGTGGTGAACATGGATCCTTGCACGACTTTACAGTTTTGAGAAGATCTGATATATACCGACGTGCACAGTTAAATCAGAGTGAACTATTTCCAAACTCATCACTTATTATTGGAGATACTGGAAACTTAGATGAAAACCAAAAAAAATTTAACGAAAAGCATTCCTCTATACGAATGATAGTAGAAAATAATTTTGGTGTACTAAAAAGTCGCTTTCGCAGACTATCAAAGTTTACAGAACAAAGTAATTTGGTTGCAATCACGAACATCGTAGCCAGTGTATATGTTCTGCACAACATTTGTATAAGTAAGGATGATTTTTGCGAAAACAATGACGAACACAATAGTGTGGAAGAAACGGCAGATCAACCAGAATGTTTTGATACTTCAGAGTTGGATGACTCAATTGATTAAAGACAAAACCTATTTAATTACTTGCCAAGAGAAAATATTATTTAGATTTAAAACTAAATAATGAAAATAAAGTACAAACAACAAAATATAGAAAGAAATTGTGTTTATTGAAATTATAAAAAAAAACAAATAAATAAACTAAATAAAATAATAAACTAAACTAATTATGGATTTAATGACTTCACAACGGCCTCCAACAGTGACAATTTTTTGCGCTCCATTTCTTGATCAACCGCCCAATATCCGTCCACTGGATATTGGATATTATTAACAATTTTGTTGTCTTAGTTTCTGTTTCTCTTCCATTTCAATTTTTTTCAATTTAAGCTTCTCCTCATAGTACATGTCGCGAGCGGAGTGCTTGCGTACTTTTTCTGTTGACAAACGAGAAGTTGAAGATGGTGGTGGAGTTGAAGTCATTGATCCGATTCCACTTGGCGCTGGTTTATTGTTGTCTATTGTCACTTTATATGCTTTCATTAAAGTCCGCATTTTTCCTTCTAGACACAGCGCCGTTCTTTCTTTATCCTGAAATAAAAGAAAAAGTAGATAATAATACTGTAATGAACCTTTTCTGGCGGTTCGTTTAGAGCTGGGATAGCTCAGCCTTGTCCAAGGTCCTCACAAGAAATTTGTTTTGTTGCAACCCTGAATTCTGAAGGACTGAATTGAAGGCAAACTAAATCGATCTATACAGCTGAACCCCTCTCGATACGCGACACGATATAATACAAGCACACATGACTGTTAAAGCTACGTGTGATGTATTACAGGTCGTAGACAACACGCCCTTCCCTGTACACTGTTAAAGCGTCCAGGGGTCAGAGACGTTGGGTTACTGTTAAAGCAACCTATCGCTTCCTACACTATGGTATAGACACACGTGACTGTTCAAGCTACGTGTGTTACACCTCGTGCAGCCTAGGTTCAGTAACTGCTGAAGCCCTGAATCTCGCTTACCTTTTCAACCCTTAACTCAATCCTTCAACCCTATTTGCGATAGCTACCTACAAATTTACCTTTAACCACTCGTCGCCTTTACATATAAAATATTTCCAATCAACAAAATTATACTCAATGTATTTAATTTTATACAATTTGTAAATATATATTTATTATTTTTCTTTTAGTATTGACATTAGCTATTTAAAAAAAAATTTATTTTCCAAACACATATATCGCTTTATAAAATTTAGTTTTAAACAATTCAAACACAATTCATGATATTTTACGTGCTATATTATTAATATTTAAATTATTTTGTTTTACAATTTATTTTGTCTTAGTTCTTGTATTTAAGTGATTTTCTTTTAACAGTTTACGTTTCCTTCTATATTCAAAAATTTAGAACTTTCTATGAAGCTTAATTTACTTTAATCGTTTGCATATCACAAATTTTTGTTTCTTTTTTTCAAAAAAAAATATCTCTTTACAAAATTTAATTTTTAAACAATTCATTGGTTATAGTTTACTTATATATATTTGAGTAATTTTCTTTTAACAGTTTGCGTTTACTTATTTCGTTTGCACATCACAATTTATTAGTGATATTTTACGTTATTTAATCTAATATTAAAATATCTTTTTTTAAAATTTAATTTCAAACAATTCATTAGTGATATTTTACGTTCTATAATATAATATTAAATTCTCTTTATAAAATTTAACTTATCCAATATCCAGTAGTCAGTTACTTGCACCTTCGCTGCCGAAATCGATAGTGTTAAAATATAGCTATGTCACTGCGTAGAAACCGAACAAGAAGCCTTCTTCCTGGTGCACGCAGTTTTATATCGTCAACGGTCAACGGTATCAGCTGTAGCTACGTTAAAGCAAAGAATCTATAGCACAAAGAAGTGCTACGCTCATACAAACGAAATACCCACTTTATTTTGCTGGTGGATTTATAATAAATCCACCCAACCTCATGCAACAATGTTCGATCGAGTCACAACTGGTATGATGTTCAGTTCAAACTCATTGCAACCCACAATTGTTTTTATACGCCTGTTTCTTTTGCCTTTCTTGTTTTTATTTGTCTATTTAATTAATATACATTGATTAGTAGCGAAGTGAATGGTAAAGAAATCCCTGAAACAATTTTACCATATACTTTGTTGCTTTATTTTCTTGTACTGAAAAGGCTCATATCATAGGAGTAAAGAGTAATAGAATATATTTTTTTTTATTGCAAAAAATGATGCACTACAAAAACTATTATGTATGTACAAATGTGATATTGGTGACATTAAGTCTGCAGTACATAAATAGGTATGTTTTTATTGCACATTTGTGCATATATTTTACCTCAAATGGAACTACTTCTTAATAGTTTGAATTTTTGGTGACTTTTTGTAATTATTTTAAAAAATAGTTGCAAGATTCATATAAAAGTTTTTGAAAAGTATTTTAAAAAAAATATTTGAAATGTAAGAAAAATTTTAATGCAAAAATGTGTAGAAGTCACTAAAACCACTATTAATGCCTTCTGGTTTGAGGAAACGCATGAATGCTATTTACACCGGATTGAATTGTTAAAATTGGTGTTTACGATATTGCTTCCGAAACATTGCGCATGGGCAACATTTAAAAATAAAGCTTCATAGAATGGAAAAAATCAGATTTGAGACATAAATAAATTTGTAGTATGTTTTAACACTACAATTCATACCCATAGCAAACAGGTAATTTTGTTTTTGTTTTATACTATTAAATTCAAAACTTATCAAATGTACACAATTTTGATTTCGTCACTGAAATGCTGTTTGATCGCTTGAACATTTTACAGCGAACAAACATACAAACATGCATATAATATAATACAGAGGGTTGCATGTATGATTGAATACGTATGCAGTCGGGCTTTTGTCAGCCTTACTTGACTCACATATAGGTTTGAACTGAACATCATATCAGTTGTGACTCGATCAAACATTGTTGCATGAGGGTGGGTGGATTTATTATAAATCCACCAGCAAAATAAAGTGGGTATTTCGTTTGTATGAGCGTGGCACTTCTTTGTACTATAGATTCTTTGGTTAAAGTTCAACGACCGTTGATCAAAGCTCGTTAGCTGATCCCACTGCAATGCACCAGTTAAAATCCCGCTTTACGGCGAATTCTATCTCCTATTCATGTGGAATAGGAGTTGTTTTTGACTAAGCTTTGCTTTCGTTCAAGAACCTTTGCGCAAAAGCTTTCTTAGTTTGACAGGTCTCGTTATTAACATCTTGTTTTGATCTTATTTGTTTTTTTTAATAAAATGTTGTGCTGGTTAACGTGTTTAAATGACAGTGAAAAATTATTTTAAAATTAGTTTGTTCAGTGCAAAAGTTATGTTACTGCCGGCAATGGATTGCGGTGAGTTAGTTTGTTAATGTTTTTATCACTACTTAACAAATTTTATTTTTTTTTTAATACAGGAATCTTTGAGTTAATCAATTCAAGTGAGTAATGCCTGTTAAGTGTTATGTGACTATACCCACGACGTTGGAGCAATAAAATTTTTAATAAATAAAATTTTGGTTGTTACCATACATTTCGCCTGGTTATACAATCATTCGTCAAACTTACAGTAATGTTTTTTGCGACCATGTCTTCTAATACATTAAAATAAGCCGCCCTCTTTTTCTTTGTGTGTTCGAACTCGTGCTTCCTTGCTAAATAGCAATGCAGAAACCCAATTCTTTCTGCATTGATCCACCGTTTTCGTGATGTTACAATATGACTATAAATATGTATATAATTAGAAAAATAGAGTTCCTTAATATTTTTATTTTTAAGTTCTACAATTACTTACGTTTCACTCAATTTTAAACAGCAAAATAAATTTATTACAAAATTTTTGAATAAAGTATTCGTGTTGCTGTAAAGCTAGACTTTCTTTGTATGGTGACAAAGAAGCTTTATTAAAATTTAGAGGGGTTTTGAAACCCCTCTAAATTTATTACAAAATGTTATATTAAATAACTGCAGTTGGCAGTTGAAAAGAATTGTATATTATTATTTTTTAAACACAGTTAACAGCTGGCCGTGAACTGGAAATTTCATATGTGCTTCCAAAAATCGTTCACAATAGACGAGTTTTTAGTTATGGCAACCATTGAATTTGAGCTGCTTATTAGTTAAGCGGTTTCAAAAAGGTTGGACTAAATAAGCCAGCAGTGTTGTTGTTTCATATGTTACTTTTAAAATAAGCGGTTGTTCTTTTGTGATATGCTTACAAAAGAAAACGCTTAATATTAACTGGAATAACAAGTTCCTGAAAACCTAAATTGAAAGAAAAATTAAAGTGCTAGCTAAAATAATTTTTTTTTATTTTAATTAAAGGTGAAGTTAGAGTATATCTTAAAAATCATTAATTCTTGAAAAACAAACCATCTTTAATTAAATTAAAGTATAAGTTAAACTAAGGCCTAAAACAATAACGTTTTATTTGAAAAGTATATAAAAAAGTCAGAATAGTAAATAAAATAATTGATTCGTGAGAAAAATTGTGAACTAAAACATAAAAGGATCGAGAGAAGTGGCTACATACAACGGTGAAGCATTATCAAGGTAAACAGCAGTAGCTGCAAGGCGGTGGACATTACGGTAAAGGTTGCGGAGCTCTCAATATACACACCAATAACAGTAAATACCACTGGCAACATAACTGTGACTGCAGTTGCAGAATTGAAGACCCAAATGTATGTAATACCGATAAGGATATTTGTTATTCTCATTTGCATAAATCAATGATATTTAGTAATAGGTTTATTTAATAACGATTTTTTTTTGTTTCAGTTTGATATGTTATGATGATTTTCTTGTTACAGAAGTTTGATATGTTAAATTAGTTAATTAGGTATATAGGAATATTTAGAAGAAATAGAAAAAAAATAATTAAATTATATTTAATCCTATTGCTATTTGTAAATTATATTGTTAATTAAAAATGAGAAGCTATAATAATAATAATATATTTTTTTTTTTTTTTTTTTGTATATATAAATTTATTT